TTGAATACCGGATAAAATGTCTGTTTGCCGCATTTCCTGCTGCAACTCGTTTAGTTTTTCAATTCGATCGCACAAATTCATGCCTCTCGTTTTCATAAAAATCTCAAAAGCCTTCTGATGAGACATTCCCTCTGCATGCGTGATTGCAGAACTATGTTGCAATCGACTACATCCTTTTCCACAGCTCCATTTCGGAGTGTAGCCTTTTAAAATCTGAATTTGCGATGCATATTCTCGGCATACTTTGCATTTTATCGCTGTAACTATTCCGTCAACGCTTTCAATTTCAAGCCAATCATTATCATTATATTTTGCAAGCGTAGAGACTTTCCATTTATAAGCTGTTTGTAATTGTAGCTTTCTGTCATAAGTTTTTAGTTTTTTCTCAGCGGGTGTTCCAGATACTAAGTTTCTTTTAAAAGAAATAAATGTTTGACGCTTTTTGTATGCTTCCATTTTAAGATTATTTTTAAACTTACCATTTAATTTCTAAAACTTTAAAACAAAAACTGTTTCTTTCAATTTAAATTATCACGATGATTTCAAAATGAAGTTTTCCAACGAATCACAAACTTGCTTTGTTCATTATTTTTCAGACAATCAAAGAAATGTTAACCTTTCTAGTTATTAATTCATTTTATTCAAATGAATTCGCTTTATTAAAATAACTCTTTTATAGTTAATAAACTTTCGAACTGAAGACTGTTACGAAATCAACGCTATGTTTATTCCACCAATCAAAAGCATTATTAAGTTATTTACAATAAACTTCGCGCTTCTTTTTAATTACCATTTTTAATGTGAACTAAAAGATTATTATTGGTCTAAAAACTTGTTTAATTCAGCAATAATGAACATATTTTTTTTAATGCTAATTTAATAAATTTAAGATTCTTTTTTAAATGTTAAAAAATTTTTTATTCTAATGTGTGACATGCAATGTAGACGATCAAATTTGATCGGCCATAATTAATTTTGGGAGTTCAAAATTTCATTTTTTCCAAAAGTCGACGATCATTGATCGTTGATCGGCCGTTATTTCGAGCGCTGTAATAATAATAATAATAATAATAATAGAGTTTGATTATTTAAAGAAATACAACTTTGTGATGGTACTTGAAGTTTCATGCCCTTCGGCAATCATCAGCCATATTTTATTATTGATCTATTTTGTAAACACTTACATTATATTGATCACTCTCAAACGAACAAGAGACTTTTGTATCTTAGTTTGGTACAATAAAACAACAATATATATATATATATATATATATATATATATATATATATATATATATATATATATATATATATATATATATATATATATATATATATATACCCAGCGGGCACAGACGTCAATCAAACGTCTTACGGACGTCTTAACTAGGTCGAGACGTCTCAGACCAAATTAGGACGTCCTAAAGACGTCTGGTAAAGACGTCTTTGTTAGGACGTCCTTGTGACGTTAATGTAAAGACGATATTAGGACTTCCATATTTAGACGTCCTATTGACGTCGCTAAGACCTACATTAGACGTCCTGTCACGGAGAAAACAGTCCGCAGAGTAAACTGTCCGGCCGGACAGTTTACTCCGGAGTAGAATGTCCTAGTTGGTCCTATCCGTCCGGTTAGGACAATTTACTCCGCAGCAAACTGTCCTACGTTGGAGTAAACTGTCCTACCAGAGTTGCTAAAAAGTCTAAACCTAAAACGCCGGAAAGCCGAAATGCCAAAAACAAACATAAAATTCTGTTTCCTTTTGGGTAAGGAAACACAAAATTCTGTTTCCTTTTGGGAACGGAATTGCCAAATGTTTTGAATGTTTTGAAAATGTTTATCACAACTTAGGTACATATATTATAAAATAATTTTGAACCGTTACTGCCTGCTCTTTGATGAAATGTAAAGAGAAGTTATTAACAAGTTATTGCGCATTTTACTTGTTTAAAAGTATAAGTCATAATTAATTTACAGAATAAACACAAACAGTTTGTTTAAATATCAATAATAAACGTTTATTATTGGTATTTAAACAAAACTGTTTGTTTAAACCTTTCACTGGCAATTGATGTCTAAATGTGAAAAGAAAAGCTCAAGTTGTTGTACTCAATGGTTTTCTTTCCAGACACTGCTGAACTTAGATTTATGGATGTTTTAGCCTAAGAAAATATAACTTCTATGTAAAATGGAAAAGTTCACTAATATGTTTTTCCTGTGATATTACAGTTAGAGTCTTTAGAGTTAATTCAGCATTTACAGGTAATTTTTTTGTTTTATAATTAGGTAAAAATATATTTTCGATTTTTAAAACCTTGATAAAAAGTAAATATAAACTATAAATAAAAAGTAATAAAACACAAAAACCATAATTATAACCTAATTTTTTAAATCAAATCTTAACTTTTGCTTGAACATCTAAATTTCTCTTATACATAAAACACTTAATTTCTCATTAACAACTTAGTAGCTTACTTTCAGATCATTAATAAGGATTTTGATCATCTCATTCTAGTGATGATTTTTTAACAGTAATTACCAATATGATGCTTTAGGGCTATTGCTCTTAACACTTTAAAGTCTTCGATAAAGTCTTCCATTGTAGTCTCTTCTTATGTAGATGTGATTTGTGTGACGTGGAGAATTATATTAAATTATTGAATCATTCCTTAGCAGTTGTAGTATAAAGATTGTCCTTCCTTGATGTTCTATTCTTGGTTTTTTATTATATTGTTTCTAATCTACGTTAATAAACTTCTCTATAATCTTACATCTAAGGTGATATTTATGCTGGTGTTACCACCATTTGTTCTTAGCTTGATAAAAACGCAACACTCTCTGATTTCTTGGAGGGGCATTACAGCTTATAAATGATGTCATCACAGCTATAGCATAAAGCTTTCAGTGCTTGGATAATTTTGAATTTAAAATTCAGTTATTTCAAGCTAAATCTAGATGCAATAACATGTATCTATGAACGAATGAATGAATCATCTACTTAGTGTCTTCTTGGATTATTTCTTACTTCTAATGATTCTTGGAAATCATATGTAAAATTGATTGCAAAGTTAGCATCTGCTAAGGTTGCATCTGTTTTTCGTGATCCTTAGTGATGTACCAATTAATCAGCATCGACTAAATTAACCACTTTTTGCACAATCGGCATTGGTATTGGCATCAGCTTTTTTTAATTAAGTTCTTGATTCTCCAATTGATGGCAGATGAACCAATTTTAAAATTTTATCCTGCATTTTGAAAATAATTAAATGAAATTTTGATAATAAAATAAAATTAACTAAAATTTATGTAAAACAATGTCATCGTTGTTATTTTGTGTTCTTGTGTCTGCGCTTTGTTGTTTTGATGTTTCAAATAAAGCCATTTATTCAAATATCTATTATCTTAAGTATCTCCTTAAATAAAGCTATTCATGTTACAAGCTTTTCATCTTCAACACACTCTCTGCAAGTTTTTCTACTTCTACTTTTTTTTTTATTGACACTGATAACTTTCTACACTCTGATATCCAATTATCTGCGTTACAACACTCTACATGCCAAACCACTTCTATATTTTTAAACCTCATTTTGGCACATCTTACCAGATTTTATTACTATTCCATGTTCCGCATATCCAACTAATCATCTTTTGTATTGTTCTTTCCAGACACTAGAGATCATCAACATTCATTGCCAATGTTACACTACCATATACCATATACTATAAAATAACATGTGAATTAAGTTAGAAAAGAGGCTATTTTTGGCTTCATTTTTAAGTATTTTTTATCAAGCCATTTAAAGCTCTGCAACCTGCAGAAATAACTTTTTTTAGGTATATCCTATAAACCTTTGAACATTGCGACTCTTGTCTTTTAATCTAGCACTCTTCTGCTTTTTAAGATTTTGAGAAATAATCTTTAACAGCCTTTTACTATCCATCGGCATTGGCCAAAAATGTTTAATCTGTACATCACTAGTGTCACTTTCTTACTCCTGATTATATTCTTTATCTCTATAAATTCCCAATCCATCCTAGCATGGAATACTGTTGCCATATAAAGGGAAATACATCAAACATGTCCTTTCTGAAAAAATGCATCGTAAACATAGTTTAACCTGCTCTTTCAGCTAACCTTCAACCTTTGTCACGCCTTTTGTTCTCTTTTCTATAAATAATAAATAGCCTGCTGGTCTAAAGAGCTAGAATCTCTTGTGAGTACAAAAAATCATTATTTTACTCGTCATTCAATGAATGTGGCTGTTCATAAGTGCAAAATAAAAAATCTTATGTTTCAGTTTTTTGATTGGTGTTTACTTTTAATTTTCCTGATTGTATGAATTATATAAATCAAGAAAATATGATCTTCCTGATTATATGAACCTGGAAAACAATTATAATCTTCTGTAAACTGTCATTTTGCACTATATAACCTTTTTCATGATTTTTCTAGTAACTTCCATCTCCAATAGTGGTTGCTTCTAGCCTTGATAATTTTATTCCTGATCTATCAGTTAAAAAAAAGTTAAAATAAAAATAAAAACAGTGATAATTTTGTTGTTAGAAGTAAAGATATTAAAAGATGTTACTTTTTTTTTTTAATTTTTTATTTTTTCAATTAATGATAAAAGAATTTAATTTATATATACAGGTGGCCACCTAGGCCACCTGTTTTAATTATTTTTCAGAAACAAACAACAGCTTGAGAGAAATTTGTATGCATATATTGAAATTACATAGACATAATTAGACATTAAATTTTTTTTGACTATTGCGTTAACATTTTTATTTTAACAGGATTAAACTAGATTCAAACTCAATTATTCAACCTTTTTTTATTTTTAGATACTAAGCGGTGGAAGTATATCCGCAGATTGAGTAAACAGATTAAATCCTCAACAGTTAAAATAACTGTGGTTGTACAGGAATACAGTTATGTTGTTGCATATTGGATTTATAGAAGATGATAATGTATAGTTTCCACAAGGCTTAAAAGATGGCAAATAGTCTATAAATGATCAGTCTATAAATGAGAGTAAGGGCTTTTCGTACATGGCTAGTTTTGTATAACCCAAGATCATTTGCTGTAAATAGCTCCTGCACTTGATATTGTTACTTAATTTAAAAAACTGACGGCGTATGTACTAAAAAATACTAAAAAGATTTTAAATATGTCTATGATTATATATATGCGATTTTAATATAATATAGTATGATAGGTTTAGCAATATATTATAAATATTTACAGAGGCGTATCATTAAATAAGTTTGCATTTTATATTTTTATTTTATATTTTTATTGCTAAAAAGTTATTTAAATATTTTATAAATAATCGAGTTTTAATATATATTTATTGGTTATATTCACAGATGAAAATTTTCCGGGAATTCTATTACTAAAAGTATTAATTTCTGAACCATTTTCTCAGATTTTATATTTAAAAAGTAAATAAATTATTACTCTTTGCAAACTGTTTACGGTAAAACTGAGACATTGTATTTGATTTTAAAGAATTTTGAAGAAAAATAATTATTCAGTAGTTTTTAGTTAATTTATCTATCCCTTTACCATCATTCCAGAGTATATCCACATACCTTCGTCAACTAGTTGACCATATAATTTTTCGGTATTTTCATAGAAAAAAATTTCCGGGATTTTCATCAAGTCAACAACTCATCTATGTTATATTATTGCTTTTCTTTGTCTGTCATGTTCTTAAAACTGCTTGAAATAAGAGTTTCTTTGTTTGAGTAGATTCTAAAAAGAAAGTATTGCTGTTACTTGTTTTGAGCGAAGCGAAATAAAAGCACTTCAAAAACTTGCATGCTTAAGACTAAAATTAAAAATCTTAAATTTGGAAGATAGACCTCTAAATATTAAAAAAGGGCTCCTAAATTTGTTCTCCCTCCGACCTCGTAGGGGGCATTAGAGGGCTAGCGACGGCTTGGGTTGGATCATTTATTTAAAGCATCTAAATAACTCTATTTATTAATGGAAAATTGATTTTTAAATGGAAATACATTTAAATGTTTCTTTTATGTATCATTGTATTAGCAAAACTGTTTTCTTGATGTTCGATTTTTGTTCAATTTATTCGTGTTATTTCATGTATGTAACAAGATCACGCGAATTTTTCTTTACTATTATGTTAGCACCATGTTACATTGACATTTTTACAAAACCTCCGGTTTAACGGGTAACGGGTCGTTTTGTAAGAACACTATTTGATTATTTTTCAAGTTTAAACCTTAATATTTGGATAGGTTTCAGGTGTCACATAACTTTCTGTGCATTTTCAGACTAAATCCCTATGATACTACATCCTGCAAAAAATGTATGTGCAACTCTCCGCGTTAAGAAATAAACATCATTAAAAATTAACAAAACTTTATATTTTTGTACTTTTAAACTGATAATAAGTCAATCGCTCAGTTTTAAGCTATTTTTTATTTTTTAAACAAAGTTTTTTGGGTTACGTGTGATATTAGCTATAACAGTTATGTGAAACTTCTTCCCTAAACTTTTTCCCTAGTTATGTGAAACTTCTTCCCAAAAAATGGGTTCAAATATGGCAAAAACTAAATTTCTAGAACAAATTTCAAAAAATCTCAAAATTTTAAAGGCGGATTCTGAGTGAAGGAAACGTTTTTAGAATTATTTTTGTCCTAAACGTTTTTCTCTATATTCTGAACAATTTATAAAAAATTTAAGCAATTCGGAGGGGAATACTTTCACTTTTTCCCGAATTTGCTTGATTCTTACAAAAAACGGCTTTTAAAGTCACGGTAATGAAGTCCGTTTAGTTGATTTTCAAGTCACGTCATCAATTGTGACAAGTCGATTTTTAAATTCGCAGAACAGTTGTTTCTAAACTTTTTTTCAACAATTCTCTTATCATTGCTTTTAATTTTTTCTTTAAATTAAATGTCACGACAACGCTGCACTACTTTTATAGCTTTATGCTTTTATGATTTTAAGCACGGCGATCTATAAGTAACAGGCCGTGACACGCAAAACTTAGAAAAAAATGTGGGGGCCGATATTTTAAAAATCAATATGATATTTTTTTAAAAACAAAATATGTTGCTCCCGTTATATAAAGCATTAAACTATGTAAAAATTTGTACAATTTAGAAATCTTTTTAAGTTTTTTACGATAAACTTTATTTAATTGTTTCAATTCATAAAATTGCTTAAATAATGAAATAAAAAAGTTTTATATCAGGTAAAAAACAAAAGTTAAATAAAGTACTGTTAGGGGGTAACTGCACCTTTAAATAGGAATATATTTTAGTGACTTAAATAAATAAGAAATACTTTTAAAACCATAAAACAGAAACTTTAAATCAATTAATAAATTTCAATAAAGAAACAACAGCATAAGAGTCAATAAATAACTGTCAACTTAACAAGACAACTTTAAAATTTTCAGAGACGGTTCTTTGTTCGATCTTGGTGTGGAAAGTTTGCAGTGGTTTTTGATAAAAATATTTGACAGTATATTACCATGACGTCGTTCCATGTCAAAAGAATAATGATTCGATATAAGCATAAAAGTGTTGCACAGGGATGTCCGACAAACTTTATCTTTAATAGAGTTAAATAGTACAAATGAGAAGAAAACCCATTAAACAGTATTATCAAAAGGAACTTTTAACCCACCTCTATCGACTGATTTTAGATATTGACCAAACTTTTCAAAATAAAACATTGTTCTGGTTAAAAGTTCATTTTCATTAAGCAAATCATCATTACGAGACACATATCCGGCAATATAAACAAGAGACATCTTTGATTGAACAGTTATACTTTTTTCTAGTGTTGGTAAATTATCAAAGACCTCAGCTGAAGATTCATCAAGTAAAAATCCACAAAATTGGCAAGAATGTCCTGCATCAGGAGTTGACTCATTAATGTTATATGACAACAAAAGTGAAGTTTTAGAAATATTGAACTTTTCAATTATTTGCTGGACACTTAAAAAATATGTGCCACCAGATCCTTGTCTTAATTTGCTGAATTCTTTTTCAAGTGGGTCTGTTGTAAATTTTCCCAACGTAACATATTTGTGTTTTTCTTTTAATAGTGTTTTTGTCAACTCAACAATTCCTTTACATGTATGATTTATGGAATATCCTGTATCATGTGTTAATTGTTTTATACGCTTCCCTTGATTACTTGTCATACGTAATGCCATTTCTTCGAAATCCCAAATAAATTTTAATCTATCATCAATTGGATCTCTGATGACAGCTTTTCGATCATCATTAAACCTACAATCTACACCCACACTTTTTACATTTAAAATTTTCCACCATGTAACAACCATTTTAATAAAATCAGCAGTCTCATTTATGTTTAAGATGTTGGAGGTTTCAGGATGATTAAGTAAAGCGCTGTATGTTTTTTCAGAAAACACTTTTAGACAGGTAGAAACAGATTGTCTTTCAATATGACTGGGTCGAACAGAAACTTCATTCAAATCAGAAAGTTTCATTAGACAATTAGAATCAGCTTCAAAAAGTTTTATCAAATGACTCCAACAAGCTGTTTTCTCAACACCATTTTCATAAAAAATTAATTCTCCTTTTTTTTCTGTGAGCCAATTGTTTCGGATGTTTTTGATTAAGTGGACAAAGTCAAACAACAAATAGGTTCCATTGGTGGTTAGCCAAGGTTTTTCAGGAAATGAGTCAAATTTTTTTAAAAATGCTTGATTAGTTCGATTTCCATCACAAGCAAGGATTGTCTTTGCGTTGCCATTAGACTCTTTAACTGCTTCAACAGTCAAATGAATTTGATCATATAAAAATTGAGAATTTAATTTGTTTACAGGTAACATTTTCACAAGAAATTTAGGTCCACCAAACATACAAGCAATATGAAACTGCAAAAATAATTACGATTAAAGGTGTTCGTACTTCAGTAAGTACTGAAGAGACACTTGTACCTTCACAACTTTATTTTCAGCATTTTGGCGCCCTAAAGGATGGACTTACATCACAATTTTTATGCATTTGAGATATTTTTCTAACTCTTAAAGTACCCTTTAAATAATTTTTATTTAAAATATTTAAATAAAATTTATTATTATAGAGAAGTTATCACGCAGAAAATTCAAATCCATTTGTATTATACAAATTTAAAAATTTTAAAATAAACAAAATATTTTTTTCTATGTAAAGTTTACATATACTTCATTTTACTTGTCTATGTAAATTTTACTTGTACTGTTCACAGCTTTACAAAATAAAATTAGTTTTTGTCACAAATATTTTTTTTTACACTGCCCTAACGTCTACACTACACAATTATTTAAAACTTTAAAACAAATTATATTTTGTCAAAAAATGCAATTGCATATCGAAAAATAAAATTTTTTATAAGTTCACAAGGAATTTACTTACGAATCCTAAAAAAATAACAATTCTTCTCCAATTGAAATAATTTACTTAACTATAAATTGTTTAAAAATCCATAAATGAACATATCATTAAAACAACATACCTTTGAACTGAGTTTCTGGTGTTTGTCACCATGTCTCTGCACCATGTCTTTTATCGATTTGTGTTGTTTTCCATTGCTGTTAGTTTATGAATGAAAAGGTAAACATCACTTTGTGATTTTTAACCATTGAATTCATTATTAACAGAACGAAGTACCTGAAAAAATTTTGAAAAACTTGATTTTCAACAAACTTTACAGTATCAACTTGATTTTCAAGAAACTTAACAGTATCAACATGACTTTCAACAAACTTAACAGTATCAACATGACTTTTAACAAACTCTACGCTATCAACATGATTTTCAATAAATTCTACGCTACCAACATGACTTTTAACAAATTCTACGCTATCAACATGACTTTAACAAACTCTACGCTATCTACATGACTTTCAACAAATTCTACGCTATCAAGATGACTTTCAACTAATTCTACGCTATCAACATGACTTTCAACAAATTCTACGCTATCAAAATGACTTTCAATAAATTCTACGCTATCAACATGACTTTCAACAAATTCTACGCTATCAAGATGACTTTTAATAAATTCTACGCTATCAACATAACTTTCAACATATTTTACACTATCAACATGACTTTTAACAAATTCTACGCTATCAAGATTACTTTCAACAAATTCTCCGTTATCAAGATTTCTTTCAACAAATTTCACGCTATCAATATGGGGGGGGGGGGGGGTTAAATAAGCTTGCGTTGGGTAGGAAAATGTTCCAAAAACTATTAAACATACTCCTTCTATTGTATGAAGAATGCAATAGTAGCAAATTTAAAAACAAATCAACATAAAAATTAGGATTTTTTCAAACCTCTTAAATAAATATGTCAGAAACACATACTAAAATGGACTAACTTACGAAGCCAAATATGTATCTAATTTTCATTAAAAGATTAATTGCTCTAAATGTTATTAAATATTTTCTAATCTATTTAAATTTTAGATTGTTTGCAAAACATTTAGTTGAATATTTTTTTCCATAAAGATATTCGTAAATATTACCAGTAAATAATAATGAAAACAAATTTTGCTTAAAAATATATGCTAAACAAAAAAACCATTTAAAATATGAAAAAACAAAGTTAAAATAACTAAAAAACCACACAGGTTAAGTGACAGTCATATCTGTATCTGAAGTGGCATCTTTGATAGTATGAGTAATAATAAAAAAATTAATAAAACATCATATTTTGTGTTATTTCTGTCAGCTTATTCTATAAGTTAAAAATCATAACATATTTTTAAAATGTAAAGTGATATAACTCTTTGCATTCAAAATATTCAACCATTTTGCCAGCAGCAGGCATTCGACAGGAAGAGAAAATATCTAACTCTTGAAAATTAAATAAGTAGTATATAACAAATATGATGTTTTAATGAATTAATTATATATATATTTAATCATATATATAGATCCATAGATATAGATCTATACATATATCATAGATTATTATCAAATAATAACTTGCACGAATCACAAAAGAAGATATCACAGATACTTTTCTGATAGTCAATTAAACATGTTAAGTGATATAACTCATCGCATTCAAAACATTTAATCATTTGGCCTGCAGCCGGCATTCGACAAGAACAGAAAATATCTATAGCCTCAATGCGACTAACCCCACCAATTTCTGTACTTACCTTCACTGTTGGAAACATGGAAAGAACCGTTTCTTTGAAGGCTTTTCAATAAATGATCCCGCATCAGATTTTGTTTATACAAACAATGATCTGGTTGTATCTGCTTAGTTAAAGCTGCAGCAAAAGCTACAGCAAATAAACCGCAATCATTTCCTCCTTTCTGTTTTTGAACATCCATTATTTTAATGATAATTTTTTTCTCAGGACATACCAAAAGGGCAGCAATCTGTTTTTTCCCTTGATCACTCAAAGAGTTCAACATGCTGTCATAAATAAAAACTTCATTCATTTTTTGCGCTCCTATATTGCTAATTGTAAACCAGTGTCCATATCCATCATGGAGTATCTGGATAAAACTATTTTTCATTGCAAGAAATGCCATATTTAATCCTAGAATAGGATCTTGGAAACCAGCTATTGATGACTGTGCCTTTAAAATATTCTGTGAGGCAAAAATTATGCTATCTGTTAGCCACTCATTCTCACTCCTAAGAATATTTCTTTCAATGGATGTCAACTCACACAAACTGTTTTTTATCCACAATACCTCCTTTTTTGTTTCTTTGGATGCAATTTTGTAGGTTTCCACCTCAATTGTACTTATCTCAATTCTCTGATTTTTATTGGATACATTTGTTTCATAACATTTTTTCTTTGCTGGTGTACAATAATCATGATCATGATTGTTGCAGAATTTTGAGGACTGCATTGGCAATATAATAGATTTTGAGGACTGCATTGGCAACAGAGTAGATTTAATACTAGATGTAAAAAATATATCAGATTTGTTTTTCTGGTCGCTGATGTTGCCTGTTGGATTTGTATGACTACTATCAATTTTACTACATTCCTTAAAAGAATCCGCCTCTGTTATTGCCACATTAATATCACAAGTAATGTATGGCTTAATGTGAGCACCATTAACCTTTTTTTCCTTTAAGGTGGCTATCTCTTGTAAGAGATATGACCCCTTTCCTAAATTTTTCAAAATACAGAAAGGTCCAAGCCATCTGAAATCTAGTTTTCCATCTTTTCATTTTTTCCGCAAAAAATCCTTGATCAGGACTTTGGATCCAATTGCATAAACAAATGGATTAGCATGCTTCTTGTTATAATGCAGTTTCTGTTTTTCTTGAGCTGTTTCGATATTTTTTTTAGCTTTATCTAGGATACATGATCTAAAGTATAAATAGTTATTGTAAAACTTCAGAATAAATTTAAAATCAAACAAAGAACTTTTCACATTTTATATCTTTTAATAATTGTTGTACCATTAAATTTTGTACAATGCTATTCAGGCTACCAGAAAGAAAAAAAGAAAAGAAAGAA